GCCCCGAAATAATTACACGGAAACTGTATTCTTTTAAACACTGCTTGGCCCATTTCTATCTAGCCTCTTCTAGGCTAATTCTCACATATTAATTTAGCCCATTTCTAATCATCTGTGTGTAGCACCCCAAGGTGCGCTTACCAGGAAGATTCTAGCCTACGTCCATCCTGGGTCGGAGCTTCATCACGTGTGTCTGCCTGGGAGCGGGGCATGGCGTCTCTCTGAGGCGTCTGCTTCCGAGAGGAGAGCTGTGGAGTCTGAGCTCACTTCCTCTTCCTCCCAGCATTCTATTCTGTTTACTCCTCCCACCTACGTTTTAACCTATGAGGGCCAAGCAGTTTCTTTATTGCTTAACCAATGAAATCAACAGATTGATATATGACACTCCCACATCACCTGGGAAAGGGGCAAAGTAACCCTCAGAAGTTTCCCTTTACCTCACCTGATCTGGCAGCCGCTCTCCAGCCAATTATTGGTAATAGCCCTTTGAATAAGCCAATCATAATAAAGAACACCCCCCAGACTCCCCCCTTATTTCTGTGGCTTTTTGCTTTAAAACTAGCCTGTACCAGCTATTTGGGGTCTTTCTGGCTTCTTGAATGCTGAAAGACCTTCTCATGACAGAATTAATAAAATCCTCATCAACCATGGTGTGAGGGATGGTCTCTTGGGGCGACTCCTCCTCGGTGATTGGACTCCAGGGTCCAACAGTTTCTGAACCCATTGGTCAATTTGAGGGCCTGAAAACCTAACAAAGAGCCTTTAATAACAGACAAGGTATCTTCAAGGACAGGATGCCTCCCAAGAACATCTGGACCTTGTTAAATTTTATGACCCTGCTCCCTATCTTCTTAACTGGCCATTTTTAGGGTATCTGTTCAAACGTCTGCTACAGCAGCACATTTCTGGAGCTGAGATCGCCCACCCCCAGCTCATTATGTGGCTAAAGATGAAGCCCTCTCTTTAAAATGGAGTTTGCAAGTCAGGTCCTCACAGTGTGAGCCGCCATGTGGATGCTGGGAACCCAACCTGGGTTCTTGCAAACAGCAACAAGTGCCCTTCACTGCTGAGACAATTCTAGCCCTAGTGACTTTAATAGATACTGAGGACAGCTTAGCGGTTACCCCTCACCCAGACCATGACATTGCTGTAAAAACTGACCAAGGAGGCTGTGCACTGAGAAATCAGCATGCAAAGCCCGATATACAAGCACAAATCCTGCTGGAGGTGGACTATGGGCTGAGGGCCTGTGCATGAGGCTCAGAGCCCAGCCTCAGTTAGCATTCACCTGCTCATCTGTCCCTTCACACGTTACTCATTCTGTAAGAGCGGGGATGGGCAGAAGTCGTGGGTGGAGAGGGCTGTCGGGATGTGAAGAAAGTCTGGGGTTCACCACCAGAGATGAGGGACGTAAACGCCAGTCCTAAGGAGGGCTCAGGAAGGAAGCCCGCCCTAGAGGCCTGTAAATAAAATGAGCTCTGGATACTACTGCATCCTGGCACTAAGCAGAGTTACATGAAGGAGGCTGACAGAGTTACATACTTTGCTGACACTGGAGAGGTTACAGACCTTTCTTATGCACAAAGCTTCTGAATGCCCATTATCCAATCCAGTCCTATCTGGAGCATTTCTGTTTCACAGACGGAAATACGGAGACCTAAGGGAGAAGACAACCAAATGTTGTGTGAACATGAAGCTTACTTCGAGTCAGAGGGCAGGGGTAGCTGCTAGCTGACCAAATCATCCACAGAAGTTCTGCGGGACTGAGGACAGATAGGACAGGAAGGAAGGCAGGGCGGGGAGGGCTCTCGGCCCCTCTGGAGAAAGGCACAGAGCAGGTAGCAGAGGACCGGTGGCTCCTCTGCTTCTCTTAGTCTTCAGGTTCTTACCCCAATGTCTGACTCCTGGGTTTTTATTGATGAGGAATAATCAGATTAGCACTTCACCCAAACCTAGATCTTCTGAACCAGGAGCACTGTCTACCACCCTGTCACAGATGGCCAGAGCTGTTGCTTCATTCTCAAGGTGGAAACAGGGGATGGGACAAGGCTGGTACCTAACAGAGAACAGATTCCAAATTCTTTTCCTCACTATTAGCCCTGGTTGGACAGAACCTCTCTTTATAGACCAGTCTGAACTCGAAGAGATCCCTCTGCCTCAACCTCTGCTCCATTACACCTGACTCACTTAGCACAGCTAACAGTTACACATGTATCAGTAGGGCTCACTCCCTGAAATGTGTTCATATTGGGTTGTGTAGCTACAGAATCCCATCTGCTGCTTCAAATTTAGCAAAATCAAACCCCAAACACCTGCCTGCGAATCCACTCTCCTTTCCACCCAAGGGAGAGCCGAGAAGGCTGCACTTACTACTCTTGCCGTTCATGACCATCAGCCCTAAAAGGCTGGGGGATGCTGACTGTGCCCGGTTCTGCCCACATGTGGCTGAAGCACCAACTAAACGGTGTCACAAAAAGACACATCTGCACAAACCTGTTAGGTAATTAAGTGAAATCTAATTGCCATGATGCTTCTAAGAATCAAGGCCTTGCGCTGCTAGAGAAGGACATCACAAAACCTACAAAGAAATATTGAATGCTTCCTGAGTAAACGACCATCTGCTGGGGCTGTGTGTGTGTGTGTGTGTGTGTGCGCGCGCGCGCGCGCACGCGTGAGCATGCGTGTGTGCGTGCATGTGTATGGCTGGGACCTAGGGCTTCATGCTGCTAGAGAAACATTCTACCACTAAGCTACATAATACAACCCACAAGTAAATGCTGCTTAAGTAAATGACCTAAGTGGACTTTTTCTGGCTCTCACTGATAATCCAATGAGAAGCTCAGAAAGAAAATTAAGTTAAATTACTTTCACAAAGTGACTACCACGGCCACCAACCACACCTCCTTCGTTCCCAAGGAAACCCAGGCAACGGACAATACACAGGTGCTGAGCTGGGAGTCTGTAGATGCCCAGTCCCAACTCCACCAGCTTAGGAATGGGGGGGGGCTGACTCTTAGGAGCATTTTAGGGATTTAGAAGACCGCTGTGTGAGTGTTGACTGCACCTTCCACCCGAGAGAAAGCTCTGCTTCCATCCTTGGAGGGGAGAGGAGTCCCAAGCAGGATGAATCCGGTCGACATGTGTGGAGGCGTCTCAGCCTCAGTAAGCACAGATGCCAGTGAGCTCTTTCCTAAAGGGACCTCCCAGAAGTGGCCTCACTGAACACACTATAAGATGAGCTTCTGACTTTTAAGGTACTCCCACCTAAATTGCTGCCAGCCTGCCCTCTTATAGTGACCGGGTTCAGGAGCTGAAACGAGGATACCTTTTTGTTGGACCCTAGAGTACAATCACCGAGGAGGAGACACCCCAAGAGACCATCTCTCACACCACAGCTGATGTGTTGAATGAGGATTTTATTAATTCTGTCATGACAGGGTCTTTCAGCATTAGAGGCCAGAAAGACCCCGAAGAGCTGGTATAGGCTACTTTTAAAGGAAAAAAACCACAGAAGGAAGGGGTGTCTGGGGGCTGTTCTTTAACTATTATGATTGGCTTATTCAAAAGGGCTATTACCAATAATTGGCTGGAGAGTGGTTGCCAGATCAGATGAGGTAAGAAGAAACTTCTGAGGGTCACTTTGCCCCTTTCCTGGGGCCTGAGTCAAAACATCAGTAACTGAGTCAACACCTAAGGCTTATCTTGCTCCTATTCAGGGAGATGGAAAGTTCCCAACATCTCAGTACGTGCATGTGTAGCTGTTAGGTCCTTCGTTTGAGGGTGGAGGGAGCTCTACCGCTGAGACTGAGAGGGCTCAGAATTGTCCTCAGAATTGTCTTAAAGTTTTACATTTTGATCTCTCTCCTGGTATCAAACTTTTCAAACTTCATGCCTCAGTCACCCAAATGCTGAGATGACAGGCGATTACATTCAATTCAGCTTTTTATTTTCCAATTTGCCAAATCATTATAGATTAAAAGTCCCTTAAATAGTGATCTTATCATTTCTGAGTTCCTACAAGCAGATCCAAGTCCTTTGTTTATATCCTGGGACTGGGCTAGAGATGGCTTGGTGGTTACTGAGCACTGGCTGCTCTTCCAGTGGACCTGGGTTTGATTCTTAACACCCACTAAGCAGCTAGCAACTGTAACTTCAGTTCCGGGGGCTCTAATGCTCTCTTCTGGTATTTCAGGCACTGCATGCACTTGGTGCATAGACTTACACGCAGGCAAACACCAGTACACAAAAATAATCTTAAAAAAAATAATCAAAAACCTCCAAAGACATGTCCTACTAGTGCTGGGCCCGGAACCGCAACACGGAGGCTTTCCCTGTTTGTGACCACTGCAATCGATGCCTCCCCACAGCAAACCCTAGTGTGTATTTAACTCTCCTACAAACACTTCCTGAGCAGAAGGCTCAGAGCAAACTGCTCATACTGAAATGGGCCTTTGACCCTAGTCACACAAGGACAGCTGCCAGAGTCGATCTCAATAGCTTCCAGGTTACTTCTATGCTCGTGTGCAAAAGTCTCTATGTTATTACTAAATGATTTGGGATTTGGGGTACCAAGGATCAAATATGCAATCTTTAACAGGCTAATCAAGCTCTTGACCACGGATCTACACCTCCAGGGCTATAGCTAATGACTCTTCCGGACAATCTGTCCTGAAGCCTAAACTTAACACTTTTGTTTGTTTTCTTTTGCTACTTTGAGAAAGGGCCTCATTTAGCCCAAATTGGCTGTCAAATGTGCTGACAGCCAATGCTGACCTTGGACTCCGAATCCTCCTGCCCCCATCTCTTAGGTTCTGGTATTTCAGGTGTTTGCATACACTTCTGGCTAAACTTAAATGGCTTTCTAGCCAGGTGTGCTGGCACATGCCTCAGGGCAGAGAGAGGGAAATTTCTGAGTTCAAGGCTAGCCTGGTCTACAGAGGGAGTTCTAGGGCAGCCAGGGCCACACAGAAAACCCTGTATCAGAAGTAACGACAACAATCTGAGCACATAACATAGCATACTTTATTTGTTTTTAGGACAGGGTCTCACTATGCATCCCTCGACAGCCTGGAAAGTCACTGTGTAGACCAGCCTGGCCTTGAACTCGCGGAGTCCCTCTGATTAAGGGTGGCTCCCCGCGCCCAGCACATTATTTCACTGGGAAACAAACCAGCACTAGAGTCGTTGGTCGCACACCTTTGAGGGAATCACCCTCACTTCAGCCGTTCTTTCCTCTTCTTTTCCAGGTGGGGCCTTGCGATGTAACCCAGGCTAGCCTCGGCCTCCGCCTTGAAGTGTTGGGTGTTAGGTGAGCTCCCCGGCCAGGGTCACTGTGCACTCTGCATCTGTCATCAGCGGGGACTGTCAGTCTGGCGGGAGAGCACTCCAATGCCACGGCTCTGCTTCTACCACAGCGCTCCTCTCTAAAACACACACAGCCGTGCAGAACATATTCTGCTTTTCCAAGATGGGGTTTCTGTTTACCCTGGCTGTCCTGGAACTTGCTCTGTAGACCAGGCTGGCCCTAAACCTAGAGTTCCAGATGGCTCTGCCTCCCAAGTGCTGGGATTAAAGGCGTTTGCCACCGCCTGGCTTTTTTTTTTTTTTTTTTAAACAGATCATCTGAAGCATTCTCATGGTCACACGGTGTGTTAGGAATTCTGGTCACTCAAATTCCTTAAATTCTGCTCAAATGCTGGGGACTTGTCTTTCTTCCCTAGATTAGTGAGGTTGGGCTATTCTACCTGGAATACTTAAATCTAATTTCTGATTAGAATCCTGTCAGCTCATCTGGATTATTCGAGTATTCTCTTTCCTGTTATACTAAACTATATACATCTATCTTTTCAGTTTTTTTTTTTTTAGACAGGGTTTCTCTGTAGCCCTGACCTGGCTGTCCTGGAACTCGCTCTGTAGACCAGGATGGCTCAAATTCACAGATATTCACCTGCCTCTGCTTCCCAAGTCCTGGGACTAAAGGCGTGTGCCACCACTGCCCAGCATGTCTTGCTTTTGAATGAGGCTTTTCCTATGTACTCCAGGTTAGCCTTCAGTTTGCAGTTCTGTTGCCTCGGCCTCCCTAAAGCTAAGATTACAGGCACATGTCACCATGCCTGGCTCCACAAGCCTCAGCTGCAGCCATTCTGACTCAGGAGCACTTCTGCAGCAAGGACAAAGGGACAGTATTTCTGTCTCTGTTCTCTTTGTTGTTGTGTTTGTTTTTTATTTTGTTTTGTTTTTCGAGGCAGGGTTTCTCTGTAGTTTTGGAGCCTGTCCTGGAACTCACACTACAGACCAGGCTGGCCTCGAACTCACAGAAATCCACCTGCCTCTGCCTCTGCCTCCAAAGAGCTGGGACTAAAGGCATGAGCCACCACTGCCCGGCCCTATCCTTGTTCTTTTAAGATGAACTCTTTAAACGGGACGGTGGTGGCACAAGCCTTTAATCCCAGCACTCGGGAGGCAGAGGCAGGCGGATCTCTGTGAGTTCGAGGCCAGCCTGATCTACAAGAGCTAGTTCCAGGACAGGCTCCAAAGCTACAGAGAAACCCTGTCTCAAAAAACAAAACAAAACAAAAAGATGGACTCTTCATTACCCAGGCTGCTTAATTCTTGGGCAAAAACAGTCTTCCTACCTTTCAAGTAACTGAAGCTACAGGGGCTTATGACTTCTTAATGCCTAGTGTGTGTGTGTCTTTCATTGTTTAGATGCAAGAAATGGATCCCAGGGCCTTGTGCATACTAGACAATCACTAACCACTGTACTACATCCCAACCAACAAAACAAGCTTTTCAAAATCAAGTTCTATCCAACGGGTATGGTGGCAAAGGCCTGTAACCCTGGCATGTGTGAAGTAGAGGCAGGAGGATTCATACAAGTCTGGAGTCAGCTTGTTCTACATAGCAAGTTCCAGGCCAGTGTGTGTGTGAGAGAGATGCTGTTTCAAAAATAATAATAATAAAAAAATTAGACAAAATATATTATCAAGTAACTCTGCTGAAGAACAAAAGGGCTTGGAGCACTGGCTAGGCCGGACCTAAGAAGCAATAAACGGATGGAGGTGGGGAAGGGGTGGAACAGGACACTGTAAGGCTATAGACAGCCTGGTCATAAAACACCAACAAGGGGCAGGCATTAGTGGTGCACACCTTTAATGCCAGCACTGGGGAGGCAGAGGCAGAGGCAGGCAGATCTCTGTGAGTTTAGGCCAGCCGGGACTACAGAGCTAGTTCCACAGCTAGGGCTACATGGAGAAACTTTGTCTTGAAAAAAGAAGGAAAAAGCCCTAAAACGGTCCCGGGGAAGAATACCGGGAGGAATGCTGTAGGGTGGCAAGGGAACAAGTCATGGCTTATGTGCCAGCCTGGGGTATCTGAGAAGGAACGACCCACAAGAAAGGTCCCAGGCTCCTTGGAGAGCTGGCTCCTCCAAGCCGATGCAGCGGGAGCAGAGACAGTGGCAGTCAACTGATACCAGCTGGCCACTACCTACACACTCCAGAGAACAAAAGCTTCTTGAGCTTGTAAACTTGCACTAGTAAATACAGAACAGAGCTCAGTGCGCCCTTCCGTGAGTCCTTCAGCGACACACTATGGTCTTCGTGTGTTTAACGGAACCAGTGCCGTTACACAGGAGCGTACCCATTGCCATTCTCCACAGCAGGGCACTGCGACAGCGGGCTTCTGAGGACGTGAGGGGGTGCTGCGGCAGCCGTGCGCCTCAGGGGCGGAGAAGGAGCTTACTGAGGATTGTGTCATAGTAAGGACAGAACACCATCTTGTTATAGTTGACCAGGCGCACAAATTTCACTGCAATTTCTTCCAGCTCTTTTTGAATGGGACCCAAGCCCCCTGGCACCGTAGGCAGTAGCTTCTGATGACCAGAGGCAAGGTATGTCTCCAAGAAGGTCAAAATTCGGGACTCTGTGGTGGAAAGAAGAGTGATCAGGGGTGTTAGACAAGTCTGACTAGGTTTTAGTTAACTGACTTATCACCTCCTAGGGGCGGTCTTTCCAGTCACCCCTAGATCAGATCTGCAGAACTTTGCATTTCAGTGGGAAGAACACATAGGCACAGATACTGTATTATGTATACAATATTCTGTCTGTGTAAGCCTGAAGGCCAGAAGAGGGTGCCAGACCTCTTTACAGATGGTTGTGAGCCACCATGTGGTTGCTGGGAATTGAACTCAGGACCTTTGGAAGAGCAGGCAATGCTCTTAACCACTGAGCCATCACTCCAGCCCCAGGCTCTGCTCTTAAGAGGAGCAGAACACTAAGGCCAACAACTGGCCATGGCCACAGGGCACACACAGAAAGAAAAGTAAAGCAGGAACAAGTTCAAATCTGGGGCTGGAGAGACGGCTCAGCCCTAAGACACTGGAGAGACGGCTCAGCCCTAAGAGCACTGGCCTTTGAACACCCCCCCCCCCACACACACACACACAAATCTAAGCTGAGCATGGCAGCACAACCTTTAAACCCAGCAGAGGTAGATGGATCTCTGTGAGTTAAAGACCAGCTAGGCCTACAGAGACCTTGCCTCAATAAACAAACAGAATCTTAATATGCAGCCCCATGGTAGAGTGCATGACCCTGGGCTCAATTTCCACAGCTGAGAAGGTTAGAAGGAAAGAGGAGGAAGAGAGAGGAGGATGGAGGAGGATGAGTTCTGCCCCACTAACTCCTGCTGTCTTCCGCCCAGCACTGCTTCCTTCTGTGAGGCTCACAGTGGAAGACCACACAAGTGATCTAGCGGATACTTTTTAGCCATTCTAGACATAAACAGATTTTTCAAACTGCCTGCCTTCTGAACTGGGCTATGCTCTCAAGCAGGAACCCAACCAACACTGGCAGCTGGGTATGAGTCCTCCCCACTCCTAAAGTGATCTAGGTATCCAAGGCTCCAGAGCCAGAAAGCCCGTCTGGAAGTGGAGGTCCGCTGTGGAATAGTAATTACTTTAGCTAGGTAAAGATAAGACGTGTGTGTTTCACTTGTTTATGCTACATTTGTTTAAGGTAGGAGGATGTGTTGTTTTGCCTGCCTAAGGCACCTGATTGGTCTAATAAAAAGCTGAATGGCCAATAGCTAGGCAGTAGAGGGATAGGCAGGGCTGGGGGGCAGAGAGTAGGAGGAGGAATCTAGGATGGAGAGAATGAAGGGGAATGAGAGGGAGACTTCCGGGGCCAGCCAGGCAGCCACCAGACAGATGTACAGAATGAAAGAAAGGAAAAAAGCTCTAAGGCAAAAGGTAAATGAAAACGAAACAGGTTAAAGTACAAGATGAGGCCGAGCATTTCACAGCTGATGACAAGTCTCCCTGTCACGATTTAGGAGCTGGCTGGTGCCTGCTGCAGAGGCAGGTGCCATTGCCACCAGGATCGTGTCTGTAGCTGGTGCTGCTGTCAGGAAACATGGAAGATGGAGAGACAAGGGCAGCGTGGTGGCTTCAGGTTGGGCCTTCCCTGCTTGAGTACAAAGCTTCATGATTTGCAGAAGCCTTCTCCTCAGCAACCCACAGATTAAACTGTGGAGAAAGCAGGCTTGACGAGAACTGCCTTCATTTTAAAAAAATTCACATTATTCATTTTGTATGAAATATTACTTAGTAACAAGGATCTAAGTCAAAGCCTGTAATACTAAAGTCAGAATCCTGTGATTCTGGTCCTTGCCTGTCCTTCTGGGTAGACTATCACACTGGTGATGAACTGACCCTCTCCTAAACCAGCAGCTGGTCCTTGCCTGTCCTTCTGGGTAGCCTACCACACTGGTGATGAACTGACCCTCTCCTAAGCCAGCAGCACTCAATAGCACAATCCATCAAACCCTCACTGAGTTTGTTGCTATAGCTGTTATTTGGTTGTTTTTTTTTTATTTTTTTGTTTGTTTGTTTGTTTTTGAGACAGGGATCCTAGCTGTCCTGGAACTTGCTCTGTAGACCAGGCTTGTCTCGAACTCACAGAGATCCGCCTGCTTCTGCCTCCTGAGTGCTGGAATGAACGGCGTGCGCTACCACCACCTGGCCCTTGTTGGCTGTTTTGAGGCAGAGTCTCATTATGGGGTCGGCCTACAACTTACTGTGTAGAGCAGGCTGGCCTTGAACTCCCGAGTGCTGGGTTAAAGGCCTGCACCAAGTATCTAGTCCTCTCAGTTTTCTTCTGAGGGCCTGTCTTCCAGCCCCTCTTCTGATGTTTTTATTATTGTTATCTTTTTTAAATTTTTGTTTTTAATTGAGCTATACATTTCCCCTCACTCCCCTTTTTTCCTCCCTTCTCCCCATCCACCCTCCCCCATTTGGGGGGGTCAACACAAGCTAAGATCTTCTTGGAAGAGGAACCTCAACTGAGAAAATGCCTCCATCAGATTTCCTGCAGGCAGGTCTGTGGAGCATTTGTTTCTCTCTGTGTGTGCCTCTGTCTCTGTCTCTCTTTCTCTCTTCAAGACGGGGTTTCTCAGTGCAGTCCTGGCTGTCCTGGGGCTCTCTGTATGAAGCTAACCACAAACTCAGAGACCACATGCCTCTGCTCCCCAGTGCTAGGATTAAAGGTGCACCATCAACCCTGGCCATTTCTCGGTTAATGATTAACATGGGATACCCCAGCAAACTGTGGTCTGTGCCTCCCTGAGAAGTAGTCTTTGGCTGTATAAGAAAGCAGGCTGAGCAAGCCATATAGCACAAGCCAGTAAACAGCATTCCTCCATGGCTCTTGCTTTAGGTCCTGCCTCTAAGTCCCTGCCCCGAGTTTCTGTCCTGTCTTCCCTCAGTGATGGAGTGGGACCTGACAACTCTAAGATGAACTAAATCCTCTTCTTCCCCAAGAGGCTTTTGGTCATGGTATTCATCACATCAATAGAAAGGAACTAAGACACCCTCCGAGTGACTGTCCCCCAAACGTACCCACGATCCTGCGAATGGGGTCGTCAGGACTGGCCAGGGCCTGAACCTGGCCCTTGAGCACAGTCTCCTTATTGGTGGAGAATGGGGAGGATCCACATAGGGAGAGGCAGCTTCTCACCTCCAGACACACTTTCTCCCCAATGGACGTCAGAGCATCCTCCAGATGGAAGGAACTAGAACAGAGAAGGGAAAGGGAGCCAGGAAAACAAAGCCCCATGATACAAAGTGCTAGTCACTTGCCCCGTCCTGGCAAGAGGGACAGCACCGAGTTTTGTGGGGACTCGTGGTTTTCTTCCCTGCGCCTTCACCTCCTAGACTGTGCATCCCTGGCTAATCATACCACGGTGGGTTTTGTCTGTCTGTTGACAGGGTCTCATGTAGCTCAGTTCGTCTACAACTTACTATATAGCCGAGGATAACCTTGAACTTTGGATGTTCCTGCCTCTACTCCCCAAATGCCGGGATTACAGCTGTGAGCTACCACACCAGGTTTTATAGCACTGGGGATGAGGGCTATGCGCATGTTACACACATACATGTTAGACGTGCACTCACCAACAGAGCTACATCCCCAGGCCTCAGAGCATAGGGTCTTGCTCATGCCAATGTGACAAAGTAAGCTTGGGACCGACTATATCTTCCAACACCTCAGAGGAACACACAGGAACCAGAAATTTGGTAGCTATGGGACAAGAGTAGTGATAAACCCTTTCATTGAGTCCTCCTTTGCATCTTGGTTTCCTTTTCCCACGTGGAGATCAAGCCCCAAACCTCATAGATGGTAAGCACTTTGCCAACTGTCTATCTCCAACCCTCTGCACCTGCTTTGGTTTGGTTTTTGAGACAGGCTCACAGGTAGCCAAGGCTAGCCATGAATTCCTGGTCCTCTTGTTTTACCTTTTAGGTGCCAGGATCACAGTATTTGCCACCATGACCAGCTGACATTAGACATTTTTAGAAGAAACAATCCAGAAGAGAAAAACAAACATCCTTGTCTCCTTGGAGGAGCTGTGAGACAGGACGGGCTCCTGCTGCTGCCCCTGGGGGTGTTCTCTTCCCAGCTGCGGGCTCTCAGCTGTCTGCGGTTGCAGAACAGCAGTCTCTGGACTTCTGGAAGTAGGGGGCAGGCCCAGGACTCGTTGCTGCTGCTGCTCCATACAGCCCGAGCAGCCAAGGAATCTGCTCTGGCAGGAAATGGAGGGGACAGCAAAGGCTGAACCTGGGGCAGCATCAGCTTAGGCCTCAGATCAGCAGTGTCCTTGGCTGAGTCAACCACCTGTCACGACATCTGAATATGGCCCACGTGGCACTGACCACACCTACACACTGTACAAACTCAGTAGTACAATCCTTCCTTTTGTAAGGATGAGCCAGTGTGGCTCATAACTTCAATCCCAGCACTCGGGAGGCAGAGGCAGGAGGATCTCTGTGAGTTCGAGGCCAGCCTGGGTTACAAGAGCTAGTCCCAGGACAGGCTCCAAAGCTACAGAGAAACCCTGCCTCGAAAAACCAAAATAAAAAAAAAATACAACAAAGAACAAAAACAAAACCAGTAGCTCCTCTCTTCCTGCTGCCTGTGGATCTAGATGTAGAACTCCTGGCTCTTTCTCCAGCACCACGTCTGCTTACATGCTACCATGCTACCCCACACCTCCCATGATGACAGGGGACAGAACCTCTAAACTGTAAGCCAGCCCCAACTAAATGTTTTTCTTTGTAAGAGTCGTGTCTCTTCACAGCAGTAGAACCCTGACTCAGAGAGCCAAGGAGGTCAGGGCTGGGGTCCCTCTTAGAGTCTCTGCATGAGGCCTTCTCAAACCCAGGGCTTTCTGGAAGTATTCAAAGCTACAACTGTGCTGTGAACATGGGAGTCACGTCTAGCTATGTTCAGGGAGCACCTCCTAGAGATTTTACAATGTGAAGTTTGAGACATGATCAAATGACACATTCTCATGGCGGGCACAAGACTCCTAGGAGGTGTGTGCAAAGGGCAGGGAGATCAGGCTATGGGTGTGCCCTGGAGGGTAAAGTTTGTTTCTTCTGTGATCTTTCTCTCCCAAGAGCCACACTGGACCAACTGGCTGTCCTGGGGCCGAGGCATAGGTTACACTGGTTTTGTAAGGCGTTGGTAGTGAAAGCAATTCAGTGGGTGGAAGTCGGTGGGGTGTTTTGTTTACTGTTTGGTAAACAAGACTAGGTTAGAAAGAAAGAGGTTAACACAGGGTAAGCTCCACCTTGAGAGACAGCTACTCAATTCCGTGTGTGAGAATGCACAGGATTCGGAAACTGAATTGCTCACTGTGGGTCCTGAGCACAGACATCTAGCACCACAATCCCTAAGAGTCTTGTTAAATCTACCGCTCCCTGAAACTTGGGCCATGACAGCCACGACTGAACTGCAGGTAGGCAAAACCTTTTCTAAGCTCCTCAAGGCCTTGCACTGGGAAATCCCATGGTGCACTACAATTCCATCCACTGTAGGGTCCCAGCCACTTACGGCAGATGCATGTCCATTAGCAGAATCTTCACCGTCATCTTGAGTTTCTCAGCAAAGTCAGCGTGGCCAGAGATTCCAGGTGCAGCGGTACTGAATGTGACGAGCAGCACCGCTCCCAGGACGGCCAGCTGCTCCAGCTGCAGTTGGAGCTCTTGGAAACGAGACTGGTCCATCAAAAGGGTCTGCAATGAACACACACGTCACTGCTGAGCAGAGACTCAGGCTGGCCAGCAGACGGCAGTGGCGCCACACCTCCGCCTGCTCCGTGGTGCCCTTTCACCCAGCATTCCTTTCGGGGATGGCAGAGCTCTAAGCATCAGCTCAGGCAGGCCTGGAGACAAATCCTGACTACTCCTTCACAGCAGTGTGGCCTCAGGTAAGCTTCCTTTACTCTCTGAGGCTATGCAAAAATGGGGTTCTCTTTGTACAATTCCTTGAAAGAAGAAACCCGACAGGCAGGGGCGTGGCTGAGAGCCACAATTTCAGTAGAAGGTACAGTGGTAGGAAGGGAAGGGTGAGATGGAGCTAGAGTGGCCAATACCGTCCCACGTGTCCGGACCGATGGTCCCAGAATTGAAAGGGAAACATCCAAATCCTGTGACCCTATCTTTGTCCCCACAAACCAGGAAGTCCCCTGTGCCGATAAAAGGGAGGAGTTCCTTGAAGCAGAGCCTTAGTACACACAGCACAAAGGAGATTCTCACTGGGCAAGCTGGGCATGGTGGCTCCGCCTCTGAACTCCACCCTCCGCCCCCACAAACACACTCAGAAGGCTCAGTCAGGAGAATTGCTGAGTTGAAGGCCAGCCTGGGATGCGAAGAGAGACCCTGTCTCAGGACCACAAACGAACAATAACAACAAGCACCTCAGTTAGGGAGATAAAGAAAACAATAAAAAATGACAGTGAGCAGAGCTGAGGGCCACACACCGCCCCTGAAGGTGGACTGCCTCTCGCATTAAAGAATAGTCTTTTCCTGCCAGAGACACCACAGTTAAAGAGCTCGGATCCCAGCTACTGGAGCCGGTGAGGGCTGAGAGAAGAGCAGCAGGAAGGCTAAGTGGATGTTGATTGATTCAATTAAGAGGTTTTTGATTGTTTTCTTTTCTTTTGGAGGATTAGGGGGGTATGGAGACAGGGTCTCACCATGTAGCTCTGGCTGTCCTGGAGCTTACTTTGTAGACCAGGCTGGCCCTGGACGCAGAGAGATCCACCTGCCTCAGCCTCCAAAGCCTGGGATTAAAAATGTGCAGCACCCACACCAGCCTTATATCTGAGTTTTACAGGCTAATCAAGCAAGCTTTAGAAACCTGCTTTGCTGTAAGAAGCTAAATACAAGATATTAGCAATTTAGGGTCAAACCAGATGGAGTGGGATATGCTTGTAACCCTGTCATTGGGAAGGCTGAGTCAGGAGGACCAACTAGAGTTTGGGGCTAGCCTAGGCTGCAGCATTGAAAACAAAAACAAAACAAAATGGAGTCAGAGTCCAAACTTCTTAGAAGATAAATTATCTCTGAAGACCGCAAGGCCTCCGTCATGAACAGCTTTGCTATAACAGACTTTCCAGTGGCCTCTTTCTGTCTCACTGCTAACGTGACTGTGACCGTGATACCACTTGACTTTGGCAGGACCTGACTTAAGGATGCAAAAGCTCTCCATGACTAAATGCCAAGAACAGAAGCAGTCCCAGGGAAAACCACCAGAAGCTTTCCTGCTGCTCCCAGAGCCATGCTTTCCAACTAGTCAGCAGCACCTTGAGGGCCTCTCATGTACCGCAGGGCAACCAGAGGCAAGATGAAAGTTTACAGCTTCTGAAAGGAAAGATTTATAGAAGCTGCAGGAGCTAAAGCTAGAAATAGGAACAGGGGCTTCAAAGAAGACTGAGGAAGCCACACACCAGATTAGTTATGCCAGAAAAACGGAGACTCCCTCCTCACTCACCCCCTGGCAGGACTACTGCAGCTACAAGTACTCAGAAAGGCCCTGGGTCCGGCCCAGAGAGCCGAAGCCACAGTGTGCACAGGATGCAGTGCCGAAAGAAGCAGAGTGCACAACAGCCAGAGTGGAAACAGTCACAGCGCTTGTCTGAGAAGGAAACGCAGTGTGTGCACACAGAGCGATACTGACATGCTCCTTCTATTGTAAATTAGGAGGCTTCCTGGGAAAGAGATATTTTCAGTCTACCTGACAATAGGCATAGACACGACAAAGTAGGTACAGACGTGACCTCAGTCATCCCCTGCTACCTAGGAAACAATGCCAATAACGTTTGTGTTACCTGCCCCCTCAGTTTGCCTTGATATAAAAGCTGCTTGGAAAATAAACACAGGTGATTTCAAAATTTAAATGATCACTAAAACTCCCTCCCGATACTGTTGTGTAAATTGTGTCTTCATTTATTTCCTCCGCTCTGGTATGAGAGATAATTTATGTCTGGGCTAGTCCCTGACATAATGGTGCCCAACATGGGGCTGATAGGTGACCACTGAAAACCATGGAAGAGTGACCAGACGTATGGAGGAGAGCATGAGGAAACCAGAGAATGTGAGGAAACCGCAAGAAAATTACACTACAGGTGGATCGGTGACTAATGAGTGTTCAAAAATAAGTACTAGGGGGCTGGAGAGATGGCTCAGAGGTTAAGAGCATTGCCTGCTCTTCCAAAGGTCCTGAGTTCAATTCCCAGCAACCACATGGTGGCTCACAACCATCTGTAATGGGGTCTGGTGCCCTCTTCTGGCCTGCAGGCATACACACAGAATATTGCATACATAATAAATAAATAAATAAATAAATATTAAAAAATAAGTAGTAAAATTTTAAAAGAGAGAGAAGCAGGAAATAAGTCTGAAGTAAAAATTTGTACATAATAAATATAACTATGGGACAAGGAAGAAGAATCAAATGGTTATACAACTGACTGGAGATATATTAAAGGACAAGGGAGCCTGAGTACAGCAGCATCAGATACAAAAATTATTTAAATTTACAGAGCAGCTATGCCCTCAGTTTTCCGAGCACAGGACTTTAGATGCTGCGACCTGGAAAGAAGTCGGGATAAAGATTCAACAACGTTATTATAGTTATGGACCAGACAGCGTCTCTGCAGATATGCTTTGTTTCTGGATGCTAATACAGAAAAGGTTGGACTTAAATCCAAAACAGCAGGAGATACTTCCCTCTGAGCCAGTTAGAAGGGAGACAATACCCTCCACGCCACTGGGGGAGTTGCTAGATGAATTTATGAAACTGAGTGGTTACAATCAGTCAGAGCCTAATGACTGAGAGAACTATAAAGAGGAGTCTTCACCTCTCTTGTTAATAACCGGCAATGCTGAGGGACAGGGACATGATGATAAAATCCAAAAGGAGCTAAAAGGCTTAAAAGAGGTGGTAACCTCAGTCGTGGAGACTAAAAACTCTGCAGATTCACGACTCTTACCAGAAGAGTAATTCTCTTCCTACTATCATAGCTGGTTTAGATCCGCCTATGGAACAAAGAGCTCCAAAGGTGAGGCAGATGCCCAACATTAGAAAAGAACTCTCCTTTACAAGCTTGTATCAGAGAGGCTGCTAATAGAGGGTGAGAAATGCAAGGATTTCAATTATTTCCTGTAATAGAGCAAAGAGAAGCTCAAAAAAAATCTGCTTAGAATACATACTCCCATATCATTTAAGTTACTCAAAAAATTAAAAACTGCTTGTGCTCAGTGCGATCCAATGGCTCCATTCACGCAGATGCTATTTTAAAAATAGAGCAAGCCGGGCAGTGGTGGCGCATGCCTTTAATCCCAGCACTCGGGAGGCAGAGGCAGGCGGATCTCTGTGAGTTCGAGGCCAGCCTGGTCTAGAAGATCTAGTTCCAGGACAGGAACCAAAAAGCTACAGAGAAACCCTGTCTCAAAAAAAAAAAAATTAAAAAAAAAACAACAACAACAAAAAAATAAAAATAGAGCAATAAAAGCTCTGCCCCCATGGGATTAAATGCAGATAGCCAAAGCTTGCCTGTCAGAAAAACCCTATCTATTGTAAAAAACCAAATTTGCAAAACAATGTCAGGCCACAGCTGAGAGAAACAGGGCTCAACAAGTTTCTATTTCATATGAAATGCTTGCAGGTGAGGGACCTCATACAGGGGCAAATCAACAGACTTTAATATGGCAACATATGTCCAAATTAATACAACTGCCAAAAAAGCCTAAAATAGGCTTCCATCTTCTAACAACCAGGCTGAGAAATTGTCTAATATAAGACAAGGACCAATTAAATTATTTCAAAACTTTGTCTCCAGACTAACACAGACATCTAATAGGTTAATTGGAGACACAGAAGCAGGACAGTTAATAAACAGCTAGCCTTTAAAAACACTAAGGCTGTATATAAAGCGGCTCTAAGACATTTTAAAAAGGAGGGTAACAGTGTAGATTATATTCAGATTTGCACAGATATCGGCCAATAGGGTCCCCTAAAGATTCCAGAACCCCTAGACAGTAGGCAGCAGTCTAAAAACCATGATGCCCACATTCCCAAGAGATGGGTTGGGGTTTTTGGCCATTCTGTTGGTTATGGATGTTCATCATTTTAAGGGGGTTGATACAAGTTGTTATTGGTCATGATCAGAAAAAAAAACTGAAGAAAAGAGATTAGATTCAGGGATTTCATTCTGAAAAGAAAAAGGGGGAATGCAGAACTGACAGGATAAAAGGGTGGATTACTGAATCTACTTTGAAACTAAAAAAGCAACTACTAGTCTTAAATATTTTACTGTAGTATGAAATTTTGTATATTAATACAAATCTAAGGTTATTTTTGTTATATGTTTTGTATTTATGTTTCTACTCTTGTTTAAGATATTTTGGTATCTTAAATTTAAGATTTAATGACATTTAAGGTCATTTTTGTTAGAAAATACTAAACAAACATTTCTACCCTTTTTTTTTTTTGGTTTGTTTGTTTGTTTTTCAAGACAGAATTTCTCTGTCGCTTTGGAGCCTGTCCTGGTATAGCTCCTAGAGACTGGGCTGGCCTCGAACTCACAAAGATCCACCTGCCTCTGCTTCCTGAGTGCTGGGATTAAAGGCTACCACCACCCAGCTATATTTCTACTGTTGTGTAAGGTATTATACCTAAGGAGCTCATTTAACAATGTAATGTAAATTCCCAGACATTGAAAGTTATTACTACAAATTATTTAAGATAATAAAAAATGCAGGTTATAGTTAGTCACCAATAACAATCAAACTTGTTGTCATGTTAGATATGTTTTTAAGGTCAAACACATATATTTTAGCTAGATAGGTGGTCTTCAAACACTTCAGAGATCTACAGGATATGGCATTTAAGATATTTAATATGTTTTAATAATATAAGGCTTTTCACGACAGTGAGACATGTCTGCTCCTGGTAGCACCAATCTACTTCGGAGATGATGGGCACTGAAGAATCTCCATACGGAGTTTGCTTTCTTTGTGGCAAAAGTTAGTCACTGCACAAAATACTATCCTTGCCTTGACTTCTGACAGTATTCTCTCCCAATTGGATGAGCAAGAAACAAAAGAAAGCAACTGCTAAAGTTTGTCAAGACAAGACACTATAGTCCTTCCTGCTTCACAGAGAAGTTTGTCAGATAGTATAGGCCCATAGGCCAAAGATGGATGCCCCAACATTACAGAGGAACCTTGGGTGACTGTCCAGGCAATCAGATGTCTCTGTCATTTCTATAATTTTAGAAGTTGTTTGCTCTGCACTTCCTGTTTACTCAAGTAATATTTTATCCTTCTTACTTCTCTGGAATTAGAGACAAGATAGTTATATAATTACAGTTTTCTTTGTTACTAAATTCAAAACAAACAATCTTACATAACAGAAATTTATAAAGGTAAAAAAATCAAAGTTTAAGTTCTTTCTTTATATAGAAAGATGTTTTATGATCTAAAAAGATATTTTTAGAATGGTAATACAAGTTATGACAAAAAAGGTTTAGGTTTAAAACTTTAGACTAACATAGGATAGATGATAGATAGATATAGTGCTTTCTCCAAGTCTGCAAAACGCAAATGGACTGGACACTGTGGATGTAATTCTTACTTGATAATTGTTGTTACTGTATATAACTTTACTATATTTAAAAATATATTACTATAGTTAAAAATCTTTCTTTTTTTGTTTAGACAAAAAAGGGGAAATGTTGTAGAATAGTCTTTTTGCATACTGTGAAGATGTCACTCTGATTGGTTAATAAAAAGCTGACCAGTCAATAGCTTGGTGAGATTTCCAGGCACAGAGGATGCATGAAAGAAGGAGAGAGACTCCAGGAGATACAGAACAAGCAGGGTGGAAAATACAGTGATGAGGTAATAAAGTCACAAGGCAGAAAGTAAATTAAAAGAAATGGGTTAATCTAAGTTATGTGAGCTAGCTAAAACAAGTCTAAGTTATTGGCTGAACTTTCATAATTAATAAATCTGCATGTCATTATTGGGGAGTCGACGGTCTTGATGAAAAGGTCTAACAGCACTCAGTGGTTAAGAGAATTGGCCGCTTTTGACTTGGGTTTGATTCCCATCACCCACATGGTGGCTCACAACCGCCTATAACTCTAGCTCCAGGGGATGGAATGCTCTCTTCTTACCTCTGTGGGTATTGCACTCACATGCATAAACCCACACAGACACAGGCACACATAATTATGAAATAATAAATCTTAAAATAAAAAAAAGCAACCTCAAAGCTCACTTCCCTGTGACATACCACCTCAAACAAAGCTATACCTTCTAATCCTTTCCAAACAGTTCATAAAACATATGAACCTATGGAGGTCATTTTCATTCAAACCCACACATTGACTGATGGGTAGTCTCATCGTCTGTGGGGATGGAAACATTCTGCAATGAGAATGTTTGCACAATGGTGTGTGCTTTTAATTGCCACTCAACTGTATACTCAGAAATGGCAAAAAAAAAAAAAAAAAAGAAAAAATGGTGAGCTAGGTGTAGTGGCGCACACCTTTAATCCCACCCAGCAGAGGCAGACAGACCTCTGTGAGTTCAAGGCCAGCCTGGTCTATAGAGTTTGCTCTAGGGCTATCAGAGAAAGAAAGAAATGGTAAACGTGGTATAAAAGCACAATGGGGCCTTCAGGATGGCTCAGCAGGTAAAGGCACCAAGTTTGAGCCCACAAGGCAATGGTGGAAGAAGAGAACAATTTCTGAAAGCTGTTCTTTGACCACACACCCCACACACCTCCCACAACAGCACAAACAAATGTAAGAACAAGTAATTCTTGATACAATGAAAAATAAAATGATTAAGTACTGGTCCATGCCATCAAGTGTCTCCATTATGTTTGCCAGAGAAGCCAGACACAAAAGGCCGAAGCTGAACACTGCATTTATAGGAACTATCAGAGCAGACAAGTACAGAGACCAAAGCAGAACTGGAAGGAGGAGAAAAGTATGCTGATTGCCGATGCCTGCGAAGGTAGCACTGCCTGAGCCTGAAATACACCAGAAGCCACTGAGCTCCATAAACTAAGGGGGGAATTAGATCCACGGTCATTGTAGCATCACTCACAACAACCAAATATGAAGCCAGCCTAGATGTCCATCAGCAGCGGAGGGGATGAAAATGTGTTTCATATACACAAGGACATTTCATTCAGCCATAAAGAAGAATCAAATCAGCCTGGCATGTGACGCACACCTGTAATCTCAGCATTCAGGAAGCATCAGCAGGGGAATCTCTGTGAGTCCAAAGCCATTGGACTGCAGTGAATTCCAGGCCACCCAGTGCTACATAGTAAGAATCTCTGTGTGTGTGAAGAGAGAGACTCAGAAGTAACCACTCTTCTCTCTCATAGGCATGATCTACACTGAGGTGTGTGTGTGTGTGTGTGTGTGTGTGTGTGTGTGTGTGTGTTGAAGGAAGGAGGAACTTAAAAGGAGAGAGAAAGCTGGGCATGGTACGTAATCTTCGATCTCAGCACTAGGAGGCAGAGACAGGCAGATTTCTGAGAGTTCGAGGCCAGGCTGGTTTACAGAGCAAGTTCCAAGACAGCTAAGGGTACACAGAGAGAGACCCTGCCATAAAGAGAGAAGTGGGGGTAGTGAGGGGAACAAGAGAGAATAAAGGGGGAAGGGGAAGAGACCATATTGCAAGTTTTCTCGTGTGCAGAATGTACACAGATACAAATACACACAGCAGGGGGATTACAGGTAAAGAAAGGGGGCGAGCAGGAGAGAGAGAGAGATGGTAATAGAGATGAATGTGAGCAAAGTGCAGTAATACATATGAGAACGTCACAATGAAACCCATTGTACACGGAAACATTCATAAAGACGTTATTACAATTCCAAATGAAAAGAAGACGTTTTGGTCTGTGGCTTATATCAGAATACCATGATTCTTTCAGAAAAGCTGCGCTATGTGAGACAAAGTCTGAACGGTTAAGTGCCAGCAGCACCTACCTCGGGGAAAGGTCTCCGGAAGTGGTCCCATTTCAGCAGCTTCAGGTAGGCATAATTCTGGACAGAAACAGGGGTCAGCACCGGAGCATCCCCTGAACCAGCAGCCCCTCCCCCAGCAGGCAGGGCATGTTTGTACTTCTGAGTCAGAAGGTCATTTGAGGCCTCCTCCAGCCACTGGGTGACAAAGTCCAGGGAGTCTGTGGAAAACAGGGCTGTGTTCATCACTCTGACACTTGCAAGGGCACTTCTTGGAATTACCTTAAGGAAGAGCAGCCCCACAGTGAAATTCAGGATGGAGAATGAACTTTGGAACCCACAGAACTCAATCCAGATCACAGCATTGCTCAGCGCTAGCTTCACGACCTCAGACAAGTCTCTCTGAATATAAGGGGGTGGCGCACGCCTTTAACCCCAGCACTCAGGAGGCTGAGGCAGGCAGGCAGGCAGATCTCTGTGACTATGAGGCCAGCCTGTTATACTGAGAAACCACAACACAACAAGCACGACACCGGCTTCACAGGCTGGTGGAGCTCAAGAGCCAGGTCTGCCCCTTCCTCCTTCCTGTCTTCTCTGGTTCTGACCACTGCATCAGATGACTGCAGCTCTGAGGGATGGTCCCCAGACAAACAGGACAAGACACCAGCTGGAGCCCCTGTGTACACTTGCACTGACGGCTGTATCAGTCAGGATTGCTCACAGCCTGGTGGTGTCTGCTGTGTAACTCACCACATGGGGAGCACTGCCAGTGGGGCCCTCAGTGGTCTCTGGGGCTTTCTTTCTTTCTTTCTTTCTTTCTTTCTTTCTTTTTTTTTATTTTTTTTTTTTTTTATTTTTCGAGACAGGGTTTCTCTGTAGCTTTGGTGCCTGTCCCGGAACTAGCTCTTGTAGACCAGGCTGGCCTCGAACTCTCAGAGATCCTCCTGCCTCTGCCTCCCGAGTGCTGGGATTAAAGGTGTGTGCCACCACCACCCGGCTTCCGGGGCTTTCTTTAGCCGAGTAACACAGCAGGTCCCCCATAAGAACACAGTTCGGAGTAAAAAGTGCCTCTTGGGAGAGCTGCACCCTGGTGGAGGCCTCCTTCAGAGCACACAGGCGGCTGGGGCTACAGAGGCTGTCAGTTCTTCCCAGGTACAAGATGTCCTGAACAAAGTACTTCCTTTGGTCCTGACTACTGAGCCATGGAGCCTCACGCTGCCTTTAGCCTTCTAGAGACAGCCTTTCTCTGTGGCTCCAGACTTTGGAAACCTCGGTGGACAAGTACTAGACTCTGATGACCAGGGAGAGGTCTACGCAGGCTCCTGTTCAGCAATTCACTGCAGCTGAGCTCCTGGGGCATGACTCCAGCATGCTCCAGCCTATGGACTGTGTCCCCAGATGCCTCCAGAGAGACGGAATGGTGTATCAGTCAATCTCCTTCCACCACTTCTAGTCTCTCTTTCCACCCCTGGCCCCAAGCATCCACCCGAGGCTGCAGGAACTAACTTTTGGGGCCACTGAATTAAGAAACCTGGTCACACAAGAAGATCTATTCAGAGACAGCCATTTCCATCTCCTCATCAGCAAAGTTGGGCTACGTGACATTCAAGCACGCTGCACCTGAGAACACAGCCAGTCTAGACTCCTCAGTCAGGTGTTCTCCTGCAGTTGTCCTGGACTTCACAGAGAGCACCAGGCCAGCCTGGGCTGTAGAGCAGGACAAAACAAAACAGAAACAAAGCCAGGTGTGGTGGTGTGGCCTTTAAACCCGGCGCTAGAAAAGCAGCAAAGCAGCTGTTTTCGAGGCTTTAACAGCTTTCCATGCTTTTCCTTCAAGTTACACCACCCTCATTTTATTTTATTTTTTTAATTATTAATTTTTTTAAATTTTAGTTTGTTTTTTGCTTTTTCCCCCCTTTTTTTTCAAGACAGAGTTTCTCTGTGTAGCCCTGGCTGTCCTGAAACTCACTCTGTACATAAGGCTGACGTTGAACTCAGATCTGTGTGCCTCTGCCTCCCAAGTGCTGGGATTAAAGGCAGTTTGCATAAAAGCGTCACCCCAACCCCTGGCATCCTTACGTCCCAAGACTCTGGAATGTTCGGGTGGATGCTCCATCCCAAGTCAAACACCCCTGAGAAAGCCTGCCAAACGATGACCCCTCCCCAGAGGTGCTCAAACCACTCCCGCGGGGTATTTAAACTGCCCCCTCCAGAGAACAAACATGGTTTCCAGTCTTCCTTTTCTGCCTCCTCTCTGGGGACTGGAAAGCATTTCTATCGATTCAACCTGGGTTTTTTCTAATTCAGTTTGATTGGTCTGATTTGGATTACTGAGAGGCTTATGAAGTCAGGAACTTTCAAAGGCATATGGATGCCACTGTCCAGCTCAGTCCTGAGAAGCCACAGCAGCTAAAGTGCGGCACAAAGCCAACAATGGAAGGCGCCACCAGCATTCCACTTACTTGGCTGCTTCTCCAAGACTTCCTGAAACTTCTTCCTCTCATACTCGACAGACTGCTGCATGAGGTGCGGCCTAATGCTAGTGATAGCAAAGTTGGCCATGTCTACTTTCATTAGGTCCAACACAGAAAAGATTGCCCTGAAAAAAAAAAAGAAGATTTAGAAGCAGGCAGTAGTGACATAAGCACAGTTTAAAGGAAAAGAGATGTATGTTTCATCCCAGAAAGGGCCGCAAAAGAGCCATGTGATGGTTTAATCCCAGCACTTGAGAGGCAGAGGCAGGCGGATCTCTGTGAGTTGGAGGCCAGCCTGGTTTACAAAGTGAGTTCCAGGACAGTCAGGACTGTTCCACAGAGAAACCACTGTCTTGAAAAAACAAAACAAAACAAAAATTAAGAAAATGAATTTGGGGGGCTGGAGAGATGGCTCAGAGGTTAAGAGCACTGACTGCTCTTCTAGAGGTCCTGAGTTCAATTCCCAGCAACCACATGGTGGCTCACAGCCATCTGTAATGAGATTTGGTGCCTTCTTCTGGCCAGCAAGCATACAGACAGACAGAACACTGTATACATAATAAATAGATAGATAGATAGATAGAAAGAAAGAAAGAAAGAAAGAAAATGAATTTGGGGGACTGGGAGATGGTTCAGGGGTTAAGAGCACTTCCTGTTCTTCCAGGGGACCTGTACTGACTAATTTTATGGCAATTTGACACCAGCTAGAGTTATCAGAGAAGAGGGAGCCTCAGTTGAAAAAATGCCTTCATTAAGATGTGTGGACAAATTTCTCTTTGAGCTGCCAGCTCATAAAAAATGACACAGAGACTTACTATTAATTATGAAAGCTCAGCCTTAGCTTATACCGTTTCTAATTAGCTCTTATGACTTAAATTAGCCTGTATTTTTAAATCTATGTTCTGCTACGTGCTTGCTACCTCATCTCCATTTTGCTCATCCTGTTTCTTCTTCCCAGAGCTCTCTGTCCAGAAGTCCTGCCTCTACCTCCTGCCTAGCTATTGGCTCTTTAGCAAACCAATCACAGTAATACATCTTCACACAGTGATACATCTTCATACAGTGATACATCTTCACACAGTGATACATCTTCACACAGTGTAAAAGAATATTCTACCAAGAAGAGGCTTTAGGGAAGCCTGTAGGGCATTTTCTTAATTGGTGATTGATGTGGGAGGGCTCTGCCTGTTGTGGGTGGGGCCACCCCTGGGATGATAGTCCTGGGTCTATATGAAAGCAGGCTAAACAAGCCAGGGGAAGCAAGCAGCAAGCAACATTCCTCCGTGGCCTCCAGGTTCCTGCCCTGCTTGAATTTCTGTCTTCACTGTTTTTGATGGGATGGTGAGTGAAATAAACCCTTTCCTCCCCAAGCTGCTTTTGGTCATGGTGTTACATCACAGCAATAATAGCCCTAAGACAAAGTGTTGCCAGGATCAAGGGGTACTGCTGTAACAGGCCTGGCCATGTTGTTTTTGGGGAATTGTGGAGAACTTTGGAACTGTGGGATAGAAAAGTCCTTGAGTGCTCAAAGCCTAGTGACCTTTCCTATAGGCGCTTGGAATGAGAATGTTGAGAGCAGTGCAGATGCTGGAGGCCTGGCTTGGACGCTCCAGAGGGAAGTCTGAGAGCCACTTAAAGACTCTATCAGGGCTGGTGGCTACTTTGAGTTGACAATCTGTGGTTCTGGTTAGCTGGGGCAGAAGAATCAGCGGTGACTCATAAGAGACCAGAACCACTGATGGGAAACCTTTGCTCCGCTAGGACAACTGATGCCGGACAATTAGTGGTGATTGAGAAGAGACCAGCATCACTGAGGTGAAGTCCTCTGGGAAGTGTTTCCTCAGTCAGTACGCAGACGCTGAGGTCCAGAGTGGCCAAGGTGGTCCCTTCACTGGCAGCTGAACTTGGTAGTGTAAGAGTCACCCAGGTGGTTCTGGTTTTGAAGGCAGGAAGGAGTTAGGGAGAGGAGGTGGAGCTTGGCTCTGTGAGAGGCCAGAAACCACAGGTGAAGGTGGAGTCAGAATTGCAGTGGAAGCCCCAGGAGTGAAGGAGTCATGCGGAGAAGTTGAGGCTTTGCACCTTGAAGAGAGCCCAGGAAAGGCTACTGATGGCAAGGGCAGCCCAGCTGAGCAGAACCCAGTGTTTTGGAGATGCCTATACCATGGGGCAACCGCCAAGAACAGCAGTACCACGGTGGAGTGCAGCCAGCCTGAGCCTAGAAGACAAGCTGTGAATGCAGCAGGGGGCAGAGCCTGGGAAGGTCCCAGGCTCTCTGTGGGAGCCCAAGACATCAGGAGTGAGTCCAGACACTGGGCACTGAAAGATTTACTTCCATCTGTTGGTGACTGTGTCTGGTTCTTCCCTCTTGAAGTGAAAGCATTTAACTTAACTCTGACTTTTACAAGAGTGCACAGTTGACAGACTGAGTTTTTGAAAGATTTTGGATTTTTAGTGGTGGTGGTGCATGCCTTTAATCCCAGCACTCAGGATGCAGAGGCAGGTGGATCTCTGTGAGTTCGAGGCCAGGCTGCTCTATAAGAGCTAGTTCCAGGACAGGCTCCAAAGCTACAGAGAAACCCTGTCTCAAACAAAACAACCAACCAAACAGATCTCCCGACGTTAGTCCCTTAGTACTAGAAAAGCAGTGGCTGGGAGTGGCAGGATTTCTACATTTCTGGGTTTTAGATGTTTGTTTTACAAACATTTTTGAAATGATCAAGTCCCTAGACTTGAAGTGTAAATCTGCAAATAGGTTTTCAACAAGGTGTGCTGTGATGGACATTTCCATACCTGAAAAGAGGCACTATTTCCTTAATGTCCTTTAGTTTCTTCACTTCCTCATCTCGAGCAGGTGCACACAATGTCCCCATCATGCCAATAATGAATTCTGCCAGCTTGGAAATGTTTAGGGCCCCATTCTCTGCTTCCTGTTTTATCAGTTCCAGATCCAAGACCTCGGTTATCTGGTTTCTTAGTCTAGTGTGACCAGGCAGCAGGAAAGACAGCAGAGTCTACAAGAGAGCACAGCTAAGCTCAGACAGCGTCTCTTAGGCATCAGCTTATGCACAAAAGGATGAATCATTTAGAATAGCTATTTAAGCCTTGTTTATATTCTAGCAATTGCCTGGATACAAGAAAAAACTAGAAGTTAGTTGGTTGGTTTGTGTTTGCTCTTTAAGGAAGGTCTTGCTGTGAGTGCGGTACAACCTGGCTACAAGCTGGAGACCATCTGCCTAAGCTAACCAAGTGCTGGGATCATGGGTATGTATTGCCAAGTGTGGATAAGAATGACTAGTGATAAGCAAAGAAAAATATGATTGCTAAGGAAGCCTGTGGGCCAACTACTGACTCCCATTTTTCCAGATAACAGGTCTTCAGTGTGAATGGTAAAGCCACTGCAGAAAAAGCCCTTCCACGTACAGCCCTCTCGATCCTATCCCAAGGCGCAATTACTTTTTGGTCAACATAAACTGAATGTGTCCATATCTAGTAAAATTTATAAATACGCTATATTTCATAATGTAAGTTTTGTTGTCTCTAAGCAATATGAACATTTTCTTTGTACAAAAGTAGTGTCTTTGGGTTATCACAGTTTGGCTGAAAATTTTTTTAAAGGGGCAGCGGTGCTAAGTCAAAAGTACTCAATCCAAATTCCTTCAAATGACTTTGTGACCTCAATCTCTTTGGAGTCTTCTGGAATAGTAACACAGGCTGGATGAATACTCCCTAGGCACAAGTCACTCTTTGCCTCACCTCTTTGATCTCTCCTACAAGTTTGATGGCATGGTCATATGTTGGGGGGTCTTCACTTAGCTGGACACTCAGGCAATCCCAGAAAGCTTTATGTACAATCTCCTTTACTCTCTTCTCCAAGCTGAAGACAAGGAAAAATAAAAAGACAAATGCAATATTATATATATGTATATATATGAATCTAAATCATTTTCAAAGTCATAAATTCTATGGCTGTAGGGTAACAAATCTTCAAAACCATAGGAACCAAGGAAAGGTGTCCCAGACATAAGCTGACGACACTTTAGCTACTTTCCCTCTTAAGAGTGGGCAACATGAATCCAGTGAATAGCGTGTAACGGTGCCATAAGGGGAGACGATCATAGGCTGGAGAGATGGCTCAGCAGCAAAGAGCATTTGTGTTCTTGCAGGCAGAGGATGCGGATTTACTTCTCAGCCCCCACCCCCACATGATGGCTCATAACCATCTATACATAACTCCAGTTCCAGGATCCAACACTCTTCTGACCCAGAAGAGTGGGTACCAGGCATGCACGTGGTGCACACATATACATGCAGGAAAAACCACATAAAATTTAAATTTTTTTTTTTTGCTTTTTTTTTTTGCTTTTTTGAGACAGGGTTTCTCTGTGGTTTTGGAGCCTGTCCTGGAACTAGCTCTTGTAGACCAGGCTGGTCTCGAACTCACAGAAATCCGCCTGCCTCTGCCTCCCAAGTGCTGGAATTAAAGGCGTGCGCCACCACTGCCCGGCAAAATTTAAAAATTTTAAATTTCTTAAAAACTGGAAATTTTAGAGTTGCTGATTTTATTTTCTCTGACGTTGGCACGTTCCTGCGATACATACATGTGAATAGAGGTGCCCACAGGGAGCAGTTCGTACACTTAACCTCTGAGCCTTCTCTCCAGCCTTTTTATTATTACTATTATTATCTTGTTTGGTTTTTGATTTTTGAGATAGGGACTCCTATAGCCCTGGCTGGCTTCTGAATTGCTACATAGTTGAGGATGACCTGTAACTGACCCTCCTGCCTCCACTTCCTAGAGCTGGGATTACAGGCATGTGCCACCTCCCCTGGCTTCCTTATCTTCACACAGTCAATCCGGCAAGGGATGCCAGTTAGAGCTGCAATGCAGTGACAGTCACAAGGAAATGGATGAGACACGTGCTGCAAACAAAGGAATGGCTGAGCCCTCACGGGGGAAAAGCAGGCACAAAAGCTTCCACAGATTCCAGACCCTTTCCTTGTATCCTGAAGCATCCATGGCTATGAAACATGTTCACATGTTCCTAACCTAGGAATATTTTTAGCACTGATGTACAAAAGGAAGAATGTCTTGATCACACTGGCACTGAATGGGAAGCCATTCCCAGGACTGGAAATGCTCTGGTAAACAAGTCCACACACGTACCTGCCTTCTGCTAATTCAACAGTGTTAATCCGGAAGTCTCCATTTACCACAATTTCATGGGCCAGAGCCATGTTGGTGACTCCTTTCGCTGTTTCTAGAAGCTCCTCTACAGTGACAAGCCGAGGAGGACTAGCTGTAACAGAAACCCAGTTTAAGAAGTTTGTTAAGCTAAGGCCTGCGACAGAATTGGGCTGGGCTTCTCCTACAACAATCCCTGGACCCCAACATTTCAAACAATAGGTTTAGCTTTTTCTTTTTACGTAGAATGCTAAAAGTAACGAGTACTAATATAATCACAAAACATATTCCCACTAAGACTGCTCAATAGAAAATAGCACAATAAATTGGGATGAAAACTTAAATTGCAGGTTTTCACTGTCTCAGTAAGCTAAAGGTTTATGTTCTGCCTCTGCTAATTCCTTTCTTTCAAAAAGAAAAATATACAGATTTACAATCTTTTCAGGTGTCAGTGGGATGATTCAATGAGTAAAGGGGTCTGCTACCTATAGTGGCATATTATTTGTATTTTGATAAATCTTGCCTGAAGACCAGAAGCAAAGCTAAAGCCACTAGAGGTCAGGCGATGGTGGCACACACCTTTAATCCCAGGGTTTGGAAGACAGGTGGATCTCTTCGAGTTCAACGCCACCCTAGGCTATACAAGTTCAACACAGAAACCAATCCATGTGGTGATGGCTCACACTTTTAATCCCAGTCCAAGGAAGTCACACATCTTTAATCCCTATACTAGAGTGAACATAAAATGGGAGGAGAGAGGCTTGTCTGCTTAGTTTGTGGTCGCCCAGCCTTGGTAGAGGAAAGACTTCTCTAGTGAGTTCGCTGCTTTGTTTTTCTGGTTTTCAGGTTGAGCCCCAATTTCTGTCTCTGGGTTTTTATTATTTGTGCTACAGCTGTCAAATCTGTTGATTTGAGTCCCATCCCTGAAACCCACATGGTAGACAGACAGAACTGAATCCTGCATGTGGTCCCCCTGACCTCCACACGTGTATTGTGGCATGTGTGGCCAACACTCACATGTAAACACAAATTTTAAAAAGATTTCTTTTTGCTTCCATAAATAACTTACTTTGGCATTAACACTGATATTTTCAAAATTAAACTTGCATTAAGTCTTAAACAAGCTTAAAATCCATACCCTGGGATTCATGAGATGATTCAGCAAGCAATGTCCTGGATCACAAGCCTGACAGCCTGAGTGAAATCCCTGGGACCCACAGCTGCCTTCTAACCTACACACAGACACTATACACACACACACACACTAGTAAAATTTTTAAAAAGAAAAAGTTAACCAGGACTTGGTGGTGCATGTCCTGCAATTCCAGAACTTAAGAAGTAGAGGCAGGAGAATCAGGAGTTCAAGGCCAGTCTCAGCTATGTAACAAGTTCAAACCAGTCTGACTTCCATATGATAATGTCTCAATATCAAAACCTAGTACAGAATAGACAGACTATAAGATCTCTAATGCTTGCCAACAAAGAGGTCAGAGGTAGGGGATATTAGAATTCTATAGTATACAGACCTGTTAAATCAAAACCTGAAGAAGTCTCCAGGATTTTCCCCTCCCTCACGGCTCTCTCACGCAAGTCCTGTAGCTTTTGTTCCTGTGAGGACTGCAAAGCCTCGGAACCGCTCTCAGTTCTCTCAATACAGCCTGAGATTTATCTTCCACATCCAAAGTTCTTAGAAGATTCTCCCCTAGTGTTCTAAACCAAGGAATAAGGGGTAAGTTTACTCCTAGGGAGCCAGAGGCCATGGTTCTCCAGATTTAAACTAGAGGAAGTGAGGGAGGCTGGCTGCTGGCTTTAGTGTCTGGCAGGACAGAAGAATTTTACTTGCACAGGATCTCAAGCTGATGCTGTCAGTTGGGAGCTCTGAGCTAGAGACTTCTTAGTCTCTTGAGATGGGGATAAGATAATGATAAACAATGCTGCTGGTCTGCCCAGGGTTTAACAGATGAAAAATTCTTAGGTTAGAGAAAAATAAATTTTCTTCTAACTATATTCTTTCCTTTTGCTCCCCATTGCCTCCTGAAAAATGAAGCAACTCTAAGAGCTGGCCATATCCTGTTTGGTTAAGAAACAAATCTTTATTAAATTGCACATGGGGAAGTTGTGGAACTATTGAGAATCCTTCCTCACAAAATTCTTAGCCAGGTCAGACATGCTGAATCCCCCCCCCCCGCCCCCCCGTAAGCCACCTCGTGGGCTACACAGATTATTAGAAATGGGCTAGTCCAGGTGCGAGAGTTAGCCGAGAAGAGGCTAGATATAATGGCCCAAGCAGTATTTAAATGAATACAATTTGTGTGTTGTTATTTCGGGTAAAGCTAGTAGGCAGTCAGGAGCCGGGCGGGACAAAAAGCAGGCCCGCAGCTCCTTACAACAAGACAGGGTTTCTCTGTATACTCCTGGCTGTCCTGGAACACATTCTGTAGACCAGTCTGGCCTTGAACTGAGAGATCTGCCTGCCTTTGACTCCCGAGTCCTGGGATTAGAGGCATGTGGCACCACTGCCTCACACAAACATAGATTTTAAAAATGATTTTTAGGGGCTGGAGAGATGGCTCAGTGGTTAAGAGTACTGACTGCTCTTCCAGAGGACCAGGGTTCAATTCCCAGCACCCACATGGCAGCTCACAACTGTCTGAAGATCCAGTTGCAGGGGATCTGATACCTTCAAACCAATAAACAATAAAAAAATATTTTTAAAAAAAACTAATTAAAAATGATTTTTAAAAGAACTGTATGTATCTATATGAATGTGAGCACTGGTACCCAAAGAAGGGTAAAAAAACAAAATTGGATTCCCTAACAGCTGTGAATGACCCAACCTGGGTCTTTTTTTTTTTTTTTCTTTTAACAGCTTCTGGCTCCCTAAATACTCTTGCCTTAGACATAACCACTTGTATTTTCAAATAATGTAGCCTAATACTAACCTCACATTAATTTAGAGCCATGCCATCATTGACAGAATGCTAAGAAGCAAGTCTGTCCTTCACAGAATAACTGAAAAGATAAACCAAAACCCCTTCTTTATTAGAAACCACGTGTGCAGTCTATGTCTCATTAGTCAGTTTTTTGCTGCTGTAGGGAGTACTGGATAAACCAATCCCTTAAGAGAGAGCTGTTGAGTGTGGTAGCTTACACCTGCAATCCCAGCACTCAGAGGCTGAGGTCATTAGGCCACATGAGTCTGAGGCCAACTCCAAAGTGAGTTTCAGGGAAGCCTCATCTGCAGAGTGAGACCTTAACTCACATACATACACACACATACGTAGGGCATTCATACACACATACATATGTACGCAGTGCATTCATACATACATACGTACGAACGTACATACATACATCACACATAAAAGCTGAGAGCCAAGCACGGTAGTACAAGTCTGTAACCAGCACTTTGGAAATGGAGACAGGAGGATCAAGGTTATCCTTAGCTACAGAGAGAATCTGAGTCCAGCCTGGGCTATGTGAGTCTGGATCTCAAACATCTGGGTTGGGGGTTGACATACAGTTTGGTAGTTCCAGCCCCGATCTAGGAGATCCATCCTGCACATGATGGCAGCCAAAGGAGGATGAAGAAGTGGTTGGGCCCCAAAAGTCCCTCGCAGGGCAGTTCCCAGAGGCCCTCCCTCTAAAGTTTCTCCTCACAGTGTCACAGCTGGACCCCAGCTTTTAACACAGGGGCTATGGAGAGCATTTCAGACTCAGGACACAGCATCGACACTACAGCACTCAGCCCCCGTTAGAACTGCAGCAGATGACATCACACTGGTAGAGGGACAACCTCAGACCTTACTGAGCACTTAGTCGTGCGTCTAAGCACTATCTGTAATGCCTTACAGGAACTTGGCTGATGTTCACCACTGCCCTAGGAGACAGAGTGCCTCAAGATGAACACAGAACCACCTTCCTACCTTCCTACTGACAGGAACTCATGCACGCACACCAATGTGGGCTACTTTCATCAGACTATGTGACCATAAACTAAGAAAACAGGCCCACTTGTAGGTATAAGAACACTCTGTTGACTGATAAATTATTCAGGAATGGCTTTAATTATTTTGGAAACATACCTCAAAATCCCCAAATCTGTGTCCTTCCTCCCAGTCTGCAGAACAACTTGGTTTACACCTCGATAACATCAGCACCAACATTCTTAGACTATGACACTCCTTCTTAAGATCTGCATTTCTGGATTCGCTTCAAAAGGTTTACGGGTTCTTAAGAAAAGACCTGAGCCGGGCAACTATTGGCTACTCCTTTCATCTAGGAGGCTGACTCCCTGCTGGGGCAAACTGCATCCCCCTCTGCCTGTGGCGACCAAGCCCTGGGGAATGAACTTAGGGTGTGGCCAAGCACTAGTTTTCTCTCCTTCAACCCTGTAAGCACAGTCCTGGCTTGGAGGAGCCTCAGACTTTGCATTCCTTTAATCGAAGCTGTAGTTTCCCTCTATCCCCGTTTCTCAGACTACGAAAGAGAAAACGGAATGCCACTGAGGCTGGAGAGAGACAGGAACATTCTGCTACTATTATAAAACTTGAACTTCTCATGCGATTGCAAACCCACAAGGAGCTAGGCTGCTAATTATTGGTGGTCTTGTCACACTAGGAGAGCTTAGTTCGGAGCCACAGGCACAAACAGCACACAGAGCTTCCAGTCCAAGCCCTCTGCTTACAGTGAGGTCTCCCCACTCTCTGGGGACTAGGTGCGTCCGACTTTACTTCTTTCTGCAAGGCTTCATCAGAATGTTCCAGAGCACCTCCCAGGCCTTGCTCAGAGTCACTCGGCTTCGACTCTCCTGCTTTGTTTCTGTGGGACTTGTCGAGGTTTTCAGACATCCTCGGTGAGGTCTATTCGCTGCCCTAGGAAAGAAAGACGATGAGCCAAATGGGTTCAGACCATATCACTAGCCGAATGAGCAAACCCTTTCATTTATATTCTATCTCGGTGATAAAGACACTTAACCATCGACACCTGGAAGGCTTCGAGAAGAGCTGGAGTATTTGTACCCCACTCCTGAATACCATGTCACAAGGAGGAAGGGGGCTTACACCGACAGAAGACTTACACTGCCTGCTTCGGGTCCATCAAAGGGAGTGGTGATTCCATCTTAAGTCTGTATTCAGAGACAGTGTTTCCATACATAGTCTCTACTGACCTTTAGCTCTCTACCTCACCCAGTCTGGCCTTGAACTCATGACCTTCCTGCCTCCAATTCATAGATGCTGGAACTACAGACGTGTACCACCATACCCACCTGAAACTAACACTCTTTACCTTCATGGCTAGGAGCTAACAGGAAAAGCCCTTGGAAAGCTGGCCTGGTTGTGCACTCTTGTAATCCCAGCACTTGGGAGGTGAAGGACAGAGCAACTTCAGGACCAGGGTCACTTAAGTAAAAACGAACAGCACCAAAATGCAACTCATTGGAAACAATGCTTCTGGCCACTTTCAATACTGTGCTGAGGAGATGGATGGCTTCTAGTCTTTGTGTGAAAAAAAGACCTGGGAATGGGGGTGGAGGAGATGGCTCAGTAGGTAAGGTGCTTGTTATAAAAGCTTGAGGACCTGAATTCAGATCCTTAGAACCCACTGAAGCCAGGCACACAAACATGCCTGTAAGATACTCAAGAGTTGATCTCTCTGGCTTCCATGCACAGGGGAGTACTCACGCACAACCCTTCCCCTAGATTCTAAAAGAATAACTGGGAGAGACAGGCAGATCTCTGAGTTTGAGTTCAGCCTCATCTTTATAGTAAGAGTTCTAGAACAGCCCAAGCTACATGATGAGACCCTGTCTCAAAAACTAAACAAATCAGATAATAAATAAATAAAAGGGAGTGACAAGTAATACTTTCTAGACTCTATAAAGTATTTAAGAGAAATGCCTGGGACATATATATGCATATATATATATATATACACAAACATACATATATATGGGGTGTATATGTGTGTATATATGTGTGTGTGTGTGTGTGTGTGTGTGTGTTTCCAGAGAGGGTTTCTCTGTGTAACAGTTCTGATTGTCCTGGAACTAACTCTGTAGATCAGGCTGACCTCAAACTCAGAGATCTGTCTGGCTCTGCCTCCCAAGTGCTGGGATTAAAGATGTGCACCACCACTGCCTGGCATGTATTTTTAAATAGTTGCTAATCATCAGAAAGTGCATATGAGTACAGCAGGAAGCACCAGCAATAACAATAAATGTGACTGGGTTTCCATTGAATCAGCTGCTGAGAAGAACAGGAATATTACCTGACACTCCAGTCTGGACCAGTCAATAAAGGCATTTTTCAAAGGAGTTATTTTATGTGTGTGAGTGGTTTTGCCTGCATGTGTGCCTGTGCACTGCATGTGTACCTGATGTCCAAGTTGGCTGGAAGGTAATAGACCCCTAAAACTAGAGTTACAGATGGTTGTAAGACAACAGGTGGGGGCCAGGTGGTGGCGGCGTACACCTTTAATCCCAGCACTCAAGAGGCAGATCTCTGCGAGTTGGAGGCCAACCTGGTCTACAAGAGCTAGCTAGTTCCAGGACAGCTAGAACTATTACACCGAGAAACTCTGTTTTGAAACACCAAAAAAAAAAAAAAAAAAAAAAAAAAGACAACAGGTGGATGCTGAGAATCAAACCTTCAACATCTGGAAGAGCAGTCAGGGCTCATAACTGCTGAGCCAGTTCTCCAGCCCAAGATTTGTTTATTTTTGTTTTATGTGTATGAGGATGTATGAGGGTTTGCCTGCACATATGTGGACTATGTGTGTGTAGTGCTCACAGGAACCAGAAGAGGGCATCAGATCCCCTGGTTGTGAGCTACCTAATATGTGTGCTGGGAGCTGATCCTGAGTCCTCTGTGAAAGCAGCCAGTGTTCCTGACGGCTGAGCCATCTCTCCAGCTCCATAAAGGAGGAACCTTTTAATTACATTAAAGTTTCTTAAGTCCTCCCCACCCTTCTCTATTCTTAGGACATTTCTAGTTAAGAAAGACAACATTTACAACATTGAAAGTAATTATATCCAGAAAATGACAAACTATTGTCATAAAAACTAATTCAGTCAAATTGCACACTTGGAAGGTAATCGAGAATCTAAAGAAATGTTGGCTGTTTTAAGGAGATTTTGGCATACTTTTCTTCAGCAATTAGAGAGAGAAGAATCGCTTGGTTCAATTATCTAAAATCTCAAGAGACTTCTATTACATAGAATAAAGTTACTGGAATTGAAATTTTCAGGCCTGTTGTGATGGCCAGTCTCAATTGTCAACATGGTGGTATGTAGCTTCTTCACCTTGGAAAGGACTGTGGTGGTATTTTGTTTATGATCTAACAAATAAAGCTTGCCTGAAGATCAGAGTGCAGAGCTAGCCACACTAGCTAGCCACAGAGGCCAAGCAGTAGTGGCATACACCTTTAATCCCAGGACTCAAGAGACAGAAGCAGATGGATCTCTGTTAGTTCAAGGCCACCCTGGGCTACAAAAAATTGATCCAGCCAGGAGGTGGTGGTGCACGCCTTTAATCCCAGCACTCGGGAGGCAGAGGCAGGCGGATCTCTGTGAGTTTGAGGCCAGCCTGGTCTACAAGAGCTAGTTCCAGGACAGGAAACAAAAAAAAACTACAGAGAAACCCTGTCTCAAAAAATAAAAAAATAAAAAAAAAATTGATCCAGTCTAAAAAGAAACAGAGCTCACACAAGGGTGATCCAGCACTTGGGATTTCATGCCTTTAATTCCAGCACTAGTGGATACAGGAGTGATATGGCTGGGTGGAGAGAGGAATATAAGATGGGAGGAGACAGGAGCTCAGTGCAGTCAGTCTGAATCAGTCTGAGGAAGCAGTCAATCTGAGGATGCAGTCTGAGGAGAGAGTCTGAAAACAGGACCGCCCCTTGGGTCTGAGCATCGGTAGAGGCAAGAACTCTCTAGTGGCTGCTCTGCTTCTCTGATCCTTCAGCTTTCACCCTCTGATGCCAACTCTGAGTTTTTATTATTAAGACCAAAGAGAATTCATGCTACAAAAGACACTGTTGTGTATGATGTTTTGCTTTTTTTTTTTTTTTTTTTTTTTTTTTGTAGACTGTCCTGGAACTAGCTCTTGTAGACCAGACTGGCCTCGAACTCACAGAGAGCTGCTTGCTTCTGCTTCCCAAGTGCTCGGATTAAGGGCGTGCATCACCACCACCTGGCTGATATTTTACTCTTTTGGCTTTTTGGGAGGCCTGCCATCTGGTTCACACACGGAGGTTTATTCTTAGGAATGCCCAGCCTCAGCTTGACTTGTTTCTGGCCAGTTTGTCTTAGATTGTCACACTACCTTTTGCCTCTTTCTCTGTCTCTGTATTCCTTACTTTACTTCTTTCTCTGTGGCTTGCTGTGTAGCTGGGTGGCTGACCCCTGGTGTCTTCTCCTTGGCCTCCCATAGCTCCTGTTTATCCTCTCTGCCTCCTAACCCTGACTATCCTTGCTCCTGCCTCACTACTGGCCATTCAGCTCTTTATTGGGACCAGCAGGTGTTTTAGAAAGGTAAAGAATCACACCTTCACAGAGTTAAACAAATGCAGCATAAACAAAAGACACAGGAGCTGGAGAGATGGCTCAGTGGTTAAGAGCATTACTTGTTCTTCCAAAGGTCCTGAATTCAAATCCCAGCAACCACATGGTGGCTCACAACCATCTGTAATGAGGTCTGGTGCCCTCTTCTGGCCTGCAGACAGAATATTGTATACATAATAAGTAAATAAATATAAAAAAAATAAATAAATAAACAAAAGACACATACTTTAAATAATTTTCCCCAACAGGACCTTCTATGAGAACTGTCTAGATCAGGCTGGCTCACGGGAATGCCTGTGAGAGATCAATTATGCTGAGATGGGGAGCCTCTCTGGCATGTGGACAGCACCATTTCCTGAGCTGGGTTCTGCTCTAACAAAAGGAGAGGGGACTGTACACAAGCATTTGCTGCTGTGTTTCTTGACAGAGAATGTGATGTGACCAGTGCCTCATGCTTCAGCTGCAGGGACTTCCGCTAAATGGCAGACAATAGCCCTGGACTGTGAGCCAAAATAAGTGCCGAAGTAGCTTTTGTTATCTTTTTGTTGATTCGTTTATTTATTTTTGGAGGCAGGGTCTCACAAGCCTGGCTGGCCTGCAACTCTATAGAGAGAACAGGCTGTCACCTCACAGAGATCTGCCTGCCTTTCCTCTCAATGGCTGGGATTAAGGGCTACCACCATGTCTAGTGGCTTCTCACCTTTCTAATCCATGGCCCCCTCCCCTTTGGAGAAAGGGTCTTAAGCCACATAGAAAGTTACTAAGTTAACTAAATTGGTCCTGAACTCGGATAGCTCTACCTGCCCTTACTCCTAAGTTCTGGGATAAATGCGTGTTCCACCACATCTGGCCTTACTCCTGAGTTCTGGGACAAAGGCATGTACCACCACACCTGCCCAATCTTTCCTTCCAAAACTCATCTCTTCACGGTCCTAAATCCTACTAGAGTTTGGAAGTGCAACAGACCCAATGTACAACATCACCTACAGATTTCATAAGAAACAAAAACACACCTAACGTACCCTCTTCACATGCGAAGGAGCTACCCAGACGATGTTATTCACTTAAAACGCCCACACCTAAGGATATCAGGTTCCTAAAAGCTACAGCTGCCTCCTGTCAGATCTGCCAAAAGTCAGATCCCAGGACCAAATATCGTAGCTTCCCTTTTCCTACCCACCAGGCAAGGGGCTCCCTTCCGGGAACTGACTGGCAGCTGGATTTTACTCATATGCCCACAGTCAGGAAGATTAAATATCTCCTGGTTGCCCCCTTTTCATTTCACCCTTTGAACTCATGTATGGGCGGCCGATCCTAACCCCCGGCTTCTCATCGGGGACCTCTCCCCTTCCTGACCACCTGCTCACTCCCCTCCTTTTCCACTTACGTTCACTACTGTGGGACTTCACAGATCACTCACTGCCTCAACCATGTGCTAATATATGTCCACCGCCGGTTAAAATAGGAGATAAGGTATTACTCTCACCCCCAGGCCAGCGCCCTTCACCTCTTTCCCCTAAATGGCAGGGCCCTTTCAGAGTAATTCTTTTCACTCCCACAGCTGCCAAGCTTGAGGGAATTCCTCATTGGATTCACCTGTCACATCTTAAACCGTTTATCTCCACAGCTCAAGATAATCCTTCATACACGGTAACTCAGACGGGACCTTGTTCTCTTAAGTTCCAAAGGACATCGGGTTCAGCCTCCTCTACTCCAGTCTAAGGAAGACAATGGTCCCATCCGTCGCTGTGTTAACACACCCACCCTTCTTAAAATTCTCAAATAACCAATCAGCTGTCGTTACAGGTACCATCATCAAATACGGAGTCAAGGACTCAGGTGGTAAGCAGATTCTCGACAAGGTTCTTTGACATAGCAGGTCAGCCGCTGACTGCAGCAGTGGCCCCTGAAATGTTAAGGAATATACGGCTAAAATCTATTTCTTTTAAGACACTTTCTTTAAGCTCCAGGATGCCAGCCCAACCCATCTAAACAAATCAAATACAAGCGGATCATTAATGGAATAAGTATCATTTAATTTTTTATCATTCTTAACCCCGGACATCCTAAAACTCCCTCACCCCAGATCTTCTCTCCCCCCCCCCTTTTAATTTTTTTCCTTCTACTAATGCAACTTTTGCCTTCCAGCATCTTAATGATGACCCAGCTACTCAGAAAAAGCCAGACAGATTTCTTCAATCAGCCACCTCAGACGACAGCCAAGACTTCAAATGCCAGCGGTATAATCAGCCATCCCAGACACCAGCGACCTCAGACTCCAGCGACCTCAAACGCCAGTGGGACATCGCCAGAATAATCGGACATTCCCTGGATTCCCCGACGCCCAAAGCCAGCAGGAAGCAGCCATGAGAGACCGGACTACGCCCCCATTCCCTACCCTTTAAGGTCCCCCAATTTTTTTTAATCAAACCAAAAGGGTGAAATGTTGTTCCTTTGCGGAACTACAGCTCCCAGCATTCTCCTGGACTACGGACATATTCCCAGAAGCCTTTGTATTCCTCGTTAAAAAGCGAGGGTCCTACGACCCCGGCCTCTCTCTTCTCTCTTTTTTTCTCTTCTTCCCCGCCTCCCCCGTCGTCGTGTTCACACACCTTTTACCTGCCTGTTACCCCTCCCCATTAAAAGTGCACCCACGTGGGACCGCCACGTGTCTGTGTCTTCTTCCTCGCGTAATGTCTTTACCCTCTAACCCACAGATAAGAAAGCCAGCCAGAAATTAAGAACAACAACCGGCGCGGAAACCGCGTCCACATTCCGTTATAAACAACTGTTTAGGCGGGCGAGGGAGCGGCAGAGGCGCGGCGGGAGGACGGCATGGAGGGTGGGCCTCCACCCGCCCCTGTCTCCTCCTCGTCTCCACCCGGCATCCCCGGAACCCGACCGGCCGGGAGAGGCCAAGAAACGCCGGTGCTTTTGCCTCGCGCCCCCCGGGCTGGCCCGCTGGACCGCGCGGCCGCCCCACTCACCTGCCGAGGCGTCGGCGATCTCCCTGCGGTCGCTCCCGCTGCGAATCCCGCGGGCTGGCGCCGCGAAGGGGCGGGAGCGATGCGCGGCGGCCGGGCGCCTGGGCCGTGACCCTCCGGTCCCGAATGCCTGGCTCGTCGGGCTGCCGGCAGTCCTCTCAGCCCCGCTGCGGGGGGCAGCCGCCACGGTGACCGGTCCTCAGTGCCTGGCTGTGCACAGGAGGCGGGTGTGAGCCGGGACGCGCCTGCCCAGCGTAGGGCGCCGCCATGTTCCTGTACGGCATCACTGCCGCTGTCACGAAGGGGCTCTGGGTGGCTCGGAGCTGAGCCGCACCGTGTTTTTGTGTGGAAATGAACCAGCGCAGGGTGTGGAGCGGGGTCTGGTGTGGGCCGAGGGCCGCGGGGAAGGGCGGCTCGAAGTCGCTCACGCCGCACAGGGAGGCGCCATGTTGCCGTACTGGAAGGCTGAGGCGCGCCGCCTGAGGAGCGGGAGAAAAGTGGAGCGGGGGCGCGCAGTTAGTCAAGGGAAGCGAAAGGTAAAGGCGCCTGAGAAGCCACCTTCCTTGCCAGGACTTTGAAAGTTGAGTTTTTTATCATCTACTCCAACTTCACTCCCTTGCCCTCATATTGGCACCACCACCCTCGCCCGCATACTTAATTGTGTCTCAATGACACAGACGCCGTTTGGATTCCGAGCCGAGTGTGTGTAGGTGACCGAGGCTTCAGCTGAGGCGATGAAAGTGGGGGTGGGATGAGGGGGTAGGCATTGCGGTTCCCTAGCTCCGCTGGGTCTGTTCATAAACTAGATGAGCGCTCAGAGCAGTTGCGTTCCTAAAAGGAAGATCATTTCCTCTAAACAGCACGTCAGGACAAGCCCACTTGGAGTTCATCTCCTTAGGTCCATGAAGTGGGGGCCCGTCCTGATCATTGCTGCACCAAGAAAACTACCTCCCACACACCTTCAACCCTGTAGCGCTAAAATACCAGACTAACTACACCAACAAATATTTTGTTATCGGCCTCGATCTTAAATAATAAGACATGTGACTTAACTGTTTTTAATGCTTTATAACAGCTCGTAAATTATGCAGTTCTTAAAGCAGAGCTGCAAGTCCTCTACCTGTAGCCTATAAAATGTGGGTTTATTTAAATAACTAGGACAAATGGGATCAATGCTTTCAAACTCCGTTAAAGCCCATGTAATTATTACTAAGATATTTAAGCCTAGGTATAGTGCAGTGTAGCGCTCTCAAACCATTTACCAGGAGGCACATTGTTTTTCTGTTATAACAGCTGGGCTTGCTGCTCCTCCGGAGGGCCAGAGCTGGGTGCACATGGTGTGTGGCTCACAACTGCATGTAATGTAACTCCAGCTCCAGGAGATCCCATGCGTTTTCATCTCAGCGTACGAGCATGCATGTGCCTGCGCACATACAAAAGCACACATAAATAAAAATCTTTAAAAACGGCGCTAGTGAGATAGCTCAGTGGGTAAAGTGGCCTGACACCAAGCCTGTTGCTTTTTTTTTTTTCCATCATAATTTCTGGGACCCACAAGGAAGGACACAGCAGAGGTCTGGAAGTTGTCCCCTGACCTCCTCTTATGGGCTTCGACCCTTGAGAATGGGCTCACACGCACACTAACTGTAAATACCAAACAAGCAGTCCTGCGAAGCTGAGGGGGAGATGGCTCCGCAAGCATTTGACAAGCAAGCCTGGCAGTCGGAGCTGACTCCCAGAACCTACATCAAGGCCGAAAGAGCCTTCACAGCGTTGTTGCTTGACCTCCACGTGAGCCGTGGCTGGTGTGTTCACACACAGTGTGCCCACACCGATTAAAAATCTCAGATGATTCACTTTAGGAGGATACAGCTAAAGAAAGATAGTCAACTAATTGAACATTCAGTTCTTGTAATAGGTCTTTCTTGGTAGGACTTTCTTTTGGGACCTCCAGCCCCCACATAAGGACACGGAGACTTATTAATTATGAAAACTTGGCCTTTAACTTAGGCTTGTTTCCAACTAGACCTGTTTTTATTAATCTGCATTCTGCCACGTGACTTTTTACCTCTCCTCTGTTCTGTATGTCTGACTCCCTTCTTGTCACACTGGCATCTCTCGAGCACCTAGAATCATCCCGAGTTTCTCTCTCTGTTTGGAAGTCCTGCCTAACTTCTCCTGCCTAGCTATTGGCCATTCATCTCTTTATTAAACCAATAAGGTGCCTTAGGCAGACAAGGTAAAACAGCAACACATCTTTACAGTTTGCTCAAATATTCTGCAACAAGTTCTCCTATCTGAATTCAGACTAATGTGCCCATACCTAGTTGGTGAGATTTGTTTTTTAAATGTATTTTATTTTTAATTTCATTTTACATTCCAAACAAAGTTCTCTCTCCTACCCCACCTCCTGCCCCTTACTCATCCCATCCCCTATCAACTCCTCCCGACAGGTAAGGGCTCCTATGGGGAGTCAGCACAGTTTGGCACATTAAGATGGGGTAGGACCATGCCCCTCCCCTCTGCATTAAGTCTGAGCATGGCATCCCCTCATAGGGAATGGGTTCTAACAAGCTCGCTCTTGCGTTTCCATGAGCTTGGTTCAGCTGTCTCTGGAGATCATGATCTCGATCTCTCTCATTCATGTATTCCTTCCTCCCTCTCTGACTGGATTTCCAGAGCTCGGCCTGGTGTGTGGTTTTGTCTCTGCTCCATCAGTTACTGGAAGAAGGTTCTAGCTTCTCTGGAGCTGTGGACTGTAGTCTGGGTACCCTTTGCTTTATATCTAATATCCACATATGACTGAGTATATACTGGGTCTTTCTGGGTCTGGTTACCTCACTCAGGATGGTTTTTAGTTCCATCCAAATTCCATCCAGCCTGAAAGTTTCATAATATCATTGCTTTTGTTTCTTTTGTTTTTTGAGAGACCTCTCACTATGTAGCTGTTGGCTGGCCTGGGACCCCCTATGTAGACCAGGCTAGTCTTAAATTCACAGAGATCCACTCGCCTCTGCCTCCCAAGAGCTGAGATTAAAGGCTTGTCGACCAACAGGAGCAGAAATTCCAAAACTGTGTCATCTGAAAACTATACAGGTGACGCCGGCAAGAAGAATGAAACATTTCCCAGGTGATTCCACCACGCAGCCAGAGGAACGCAGAAATACCCTGAGAGACATCTGCCTTCCTTGAAGAAAGTTTCTCCAACAAAGTGTCCCTTGGAAAGGATAAGACGATACCAAAACCATTCCATTCTAATTTGGGATGATTCACCTGTAACCTCTTAATACTGAAAATGTTCCTTAAAGCACTATAAACATTCACACATGTGCCAATCTGACCTTTGGCAGTAAGAACTGGAAACTCAAACTAACCTTGAGATAAAGGGAGTTCAATGACAGGCTGCGGTCTGGAAGGAGAAAGGGACCAGCTGTCTTGCGGGTAAGTTGCTACAGTCAGCCCCCTGCAGGATCTCTCTACCTGCTCCCTGTTTCTGTCTTGGTGCTGCTCCCTTGTGACTTAGATTTGCCTGGGTAGAATTTGGCCAGTCAGGATGACTTTTGCATAAAGCCTGTCTCCTGTCTCTACAGGAGGCTGCCTTTGGATGAGGCACTTGGCCTCAGTCTCCTCTGCTGAGTAGAGGCCAAGCTCACAGTCACCTAAGCATTGAGCACACACATGGGGATAGGCCCTGTAGAAGGCTTCGTGGCTGAATGACTGAGAGCACCTAGTTGACAGTAAGGACGGTTCTAGTAAGCCAGCGAAGTTCCCCGAGAGTCGCACTGGCCCTAGGGCTTGAAGTTTATGATGTCTTTAGAAAATGATGATTTACTGATGTTTTTCTGTAGGTTTAGTGGCTGCACATGAATCTACTGATATTTTAATTATCGTCTGTGGCCCCTTGGGCCCACAGCACCCTAATAGCCACCCAGGCCATGGCCTGGAGGGTCTTCCAGTCCTGCAGCCTGGCTCTGCCTCAGTCTTGATATGTAGGTTAAAACCAAGTCTCTGTTGTTCTATTTACCAACAAAGACTTAGAAATCAAGTGTGGGGTGAAAATCTGCTAGATCAGAGAGGCTTGATTTTATTTAATTAACACAAACACAAACTCGGGGTTCAGTGTGACTATCCCTTAAAATATCCTTTTCCTTATTAAAGATTTATTTTATGTACATGAGTGCTCTATCTGCATGTACGACTTTGTGCCAGAATCTGGCATCAGATCCCACTAGAGAGGTTTATGAGCCACCAGGTGGTTGATGGCAATTGAACTCAAGACCTCTGGAAGCAGTCAGTGCTCTTAACTACTAAGACATCTCACCAGCCCCCAAATAGCCTATTCTTGGACCAGCTGGTTCAATGGCAAAGGTGATTGCTGCCGAATCTGATAGCCTGAATCTGACCCCAGGCTCACATGATGGAAGAAAACTCCTCTTCCAAGTTGTACTGATCTTGACATGAATACTTGAGTGCACGCACGCACACACATGCATAAGCAAACACAATATTTTTTAAATTCTTATTAAGTTTGAGGTATGTGGCCTTACTGCAGCCAAGGTCTGTGTTGATGTTTGTGACTCCTGTTGCCATGAAGGCTATATGGATTCCTGGGATCTCAGCTGCCACCTGGGGCCATGTTGGTGCCATGCTGATCTGGGTGGCCTGCACCACCGCCTGGTGACATCCAGACCCAGGCTGTAGCCAGGGTGTGCTGACATACATGGCTCTGGTTGCCACAAGTGCCATGCAGATTCCCAGGGTCTGGGTCACCACCTGGGACCAGGTTGGAGTCCAGGGGCCACACTGCCATCTAGTCTGGATGGCCTATGCTGTCACTTGGGGCCAGGTGATATCCAGACCTGGGCTGTCGAGGACCATGTCTGGGTTCATGGTTCTACTGCAGTCAGGGTCTGTGTTGAAGTCCAAGGCCCATGTTGCCACTAAAGATTACATGGAAGTTCGTGGTCAGGGCTGCAATCAGTGGCCTTGTTGGTATCTAGGGGCTGTGCTTCCTCTCAGAGTCAGAATGTCATCGGAGCCCAAGCTGCTGCCTAGGACCAAGTCTGGCTCTGTGGCTCTGCGTCAGCTGGGGTCTGTGTTGATGTCCCATCTCACCTCAGGGGAACACAGGAACCATGTGAGATGAAATCAGAGGGCCATGCTGAGCTGACCTGCCCTTTGCTGGTCCTGGGATAGCTGGCCCATCCCTCACCATAGGTGAGGGAAAACTGACCCTATGGCATGGGTGTAGAGGAGCTAGTTGGCTCTGCCCCTTGCTGA